TATGTCTCATGAAAAAATATTTTAAACAGGAATTAAAATCTGGTTATAGAAGAATATTATAAATGATTAGCATTTAGTAAGAAAGAGTGATTTTCTAGTATCAAGGTTTGTATTCAGAGGTGAGTAGGTTTCTTAGAAGACTGATACTCTAACATTTGAGCTATGCCTCCAACCCTGATTTTTATTACTTTGTACATGGGATCTCACTAGCTGGTTTAAAACCTTAATTCCAGGATGGCAGGGTTTTGAGCAGTTAGGATTAAGGCATGAGACCACTGGTGCCCAGCTAGTGAAACGTCTTATTATTTTACATAGTGAACCTTTTTTTTTGTTGTTTTGGTCAGTCTTGGGGCTTGAATTCAGGGCCCAGGCACTGTCCCTGAACTTCTTTTGCTCAAGGCTGGCAGTCTACCATTTCAGCCACAGCACCACTTCCTGCTTTTTCTGTTTATGGAACTGAGGAATCAAACCCAAAGTATCATGCATGCTAGGCAAGTAAGTACTCTACCACCCAACAACATTGCAAGCCCCATAGTCAAACTTTTTGAAGCAATTAATATCAATAGGATTCTCACAGTGCATATGCGTCTCTATTTGTGCTTGTATCTATCTGAAGATATGTATTTTAGATTCCTTAAAGGAATCATATAGAACAGAATATTTTGAGTAAATCTAAATTTACTTCTGGAAATAGACAACTGATTTAAAAAACTGAAGAATATATAAAATAGATATAGACGATAGAAAACATATGGCCCTCCACTAAGTTATTTTTCTATTCTAAGCTTAAGTGTTTAAAAAATGCACCGTGTGCATGTTAAATTATCATCATCATCATCATCATCATCATCATTATCATTATTATTATTATTTGGCGGTCCTGGGTCATGAACTCTGGGTTTGGGCGCTATCCCTGAGCTCTTCAGCTCAAGGTTAGTGCTCTATCACTTGAGCCACAGCACCACTTCCAGTTCTCTGGTTGTTAATTGGAGGTAAGAGTCTCCTCGGCTGGCTTTGAATCGTGATCCTCTGATTTCAGCCACTTGAGTAGCTAGGATTACAAGTGTGAGCCTTAGTGCCTGGCTTCACTTTTCTTATTACTTTTCAATTTGACCATTATTTAAGAGTTCAATTTACAATTTATATATTGGCATTTTTTATAATTTCTCTTTCATTTTTCTGTTTCTTTTTTCAGTTATTTTTCATTTTCTATGTTTTTCTTTTCCAAATAAAATAATCACAAAAATCTTTAAATTTGTTCCTATTAGTCTCAGTAGTAAAACTGCAATTTATAAGGACCCTAAGTTTCAACTAATGCTACTTGCTTAAAACTTTGTAGTTTGCTTGAACCATATTACATGCAAAATAGTATCATTTGAAATTAGATTGTATTCCTGAAGAGCAAGATGCTAAACTCCACAATAATATAATTGCTGAGAAAATGTTTTAAATACAGTGTAAATATCCATACATTAATCATTTAATCACTAGTTTTTTATAGATTATTAAAAAAGATTAGGTAATAATGTTCAATTCCTAGATTAACACAAATTTATCTTCCTGTATAATGAGATGTACAAGACACTATGTTGAATAACAAACTTTACAATTTAGTTGGAGGGGGATGAGAGGTGAGGGAATGTAGTTGTGGAGGTAGGAGGAAAGGGAGGGTAGGGGAAAAACAAAGAAGGAGGTAACAATGCTTGATAGAAAATGTACTCATTACCTTGCTCATGTAACTGTAACCTCTCTGTACAGTATTTTTACAATAAAATACAGACTAAAAATGTTTCATCCTGAACTGATAACCACATTTTCATCTTGTTTTTTTCTTTTAGCATCTTTTTGCTTCATTTATGCTTTACTATCACATACACAACACACACACACACACATACACACACACAATGTATATCATTCAGAAAATTCAAGAACATATGTAAAGGAAACACATCTTTTTGGGACACAATCTTTGCTTTAAGGCACTAAAACGTAAACTGAAAATATGATAAAACAATTTTTATTTAAAAACTACATATACTATATATATTTTTATTTCACTTTATGTTTAAAATGCAGATATTTGAAAGTACTGTGATACATTTTTTGTTCTCAACCATGATGACATTAAATTTATGAATTTGTAGGTGTTATTTGAGGACAACAATTTTTTATGGAAATGGATATTTATTTGATCTGGAATGTCAATACTGAAAAAAAATCTTATTTTGCTATTTTGGATAGGCTTACAAGGATTTTACAGAATATACCATGACAACCTGGGATAAAAGCAACTGAAAGTCAACATGATTTGCTCTGATTCCAAATGTTTGTTCTATATTTTAATTCTACCTTTACTAGCTGGAGGAGAACAAATTTTCATTGGCATTTAAGATATTGAAGGTCCAAGTAAAACATGTTAATGTTTGAAGAGCCTAGAAAGTTGAAGACCATTCAAGTATGTACTTATTTATTGCAAACATGAATAAAAAACAGTATAATCTTCTATATTTAGCCCATCCAGGAAATGTCTTTCTATCTATCTAACCTAATCAGTTTTCCCCAGAGAAACACAATGCTTAGTGACCAATGTTTTCAATATGACAATTAAAACTCATAGTAGAACCAATAAAGACTGAATGATATTGGATAAGAAGACTGAAACCATACATGTAAAGCTAGTATTTCTCATAAATCGGATGAGAATTCTCATTCAATGAATATGCAATTTTAATCTGAATATAAAGGTGTGCTAACATTGAGTCCAACTGTTTCTTTTAGTTTATACTGCAAGAAAAAAAAAAGTTTCTTTTCTACTCCCGTGAAGCTCATTGGCATTTCCATTAAATTAGGAGTACATGAGGAAATAAATATATAGGATGATGATATATAAATATATTCATTGTTTTCTCTGGTAGAAAAAGTCTGTAGAAATACATACATGAGCAGAGAAAGTATTCAGAATAAGTCTAGAGCATTGCTTGGTTATTTTATTCATTTGACCAACTCCTGATTGTTTCATTTTATCAGTCAGAAACAACAATTTGGAGCAAAATTTCATGTATTTGCCTATTTTAAAGACATAATCACTTAACAGACTTTTTTCCAAGTCTTTCCCTTATTTGCAATAACTAATATATGTATAGGACAAGTAGAAAGGGTCAAAAGCTATGTACATATGACCATATAAAATGATGTTAAGCAAAATGAACCCCAATATAGGGATGCAAGTGGTTTTATCTTTATTGTTGTTGTTTTTAATATATTTATAATGTATTATATAATTTTTTTTGGTTTCTTTTGTATGTTCTTCACCCATGGTACCCCTCTTTTTACTGTATTTGATTCTGGTGCCCTTCATCTGTATATACATTTTTCTGATTTGGGGAGGGGAAGGGAGATAACAAAATGCTGAAATAAGGATGCACATTGACCCATTGTAACAAAGAAATGTACAAGACTATATTGAAAAAGAACTTTACAGCTGTGGGAAGGAGTTGGGGAGGTGCGGGGGCGGGGAAGGGATGGTAGGGGAAAAAACAAAGGAGGAAGTAATAATACTTTATAGAAAATGTACTCATTACCTTACTCATGTAACTAACCCCTCTGTACAGTTTTTTTGCTATATATATATATATATATATATATATATATATAAAGACATAATCACATGGTTTACTTGATATATGATTGTTGGCGTTCATGACTTTTAGCATTCCTTCATCAACCCAGAATTCAAATCTTGTATAAACAAGTCCAAACACATCTTTCACTGTGAGTAATGGTGGCAAGGATGTGCTCTGTGACCAAAGCCCAACAAAATATCAATGGAGTAACCAGTTTAAGTTTATTGTACCCTTGATCCAAGGATTGCAACCAGGTAATATGGTAAATCATTCCCTCAAGCTTCTTGGTTGTTGAATAAAAATATATTATAATGTGCATGTTAGGTTTGGAGTAAGTCTTGCCTTCTACTTTTTTGAATGATCAAAAAGCAGTCATGGCTTATCTTTGATATTTATTTTACTAGAAAAGAAATCTGTAATTTGGATTTGCCTAAAAAGGAAGTACTTGTGGAAAAACAAGGGAAAATACTATATCAAACAGGATTATATTCCTATGCTCTAAAAACCCTTTCTGAGTAATTCCAAGATCTCCACATGGAACATGGGTATGTTTCCATGTGGCTGAAGAATATTTCATGATCATTCCACTTTTGTTAAATTAGTGATTGTAATTTTTGATGGATTTAACAAGGAAAATTTCATTTTATACATTTTATTGTAGTAAAAATCATCAAAATAAGAAAAGGCTATTATAATTTGCAAAGAAATTTCAGCTGAGGTGGTAAACAAATAAGCAAATTAAGCCTGCCTATAAACATGAATCTCATGCTAAATAAATGAAGCTAAACAATGAAACTTGAAAGAAATTAAACAAACTTACAGATTTCAGATGAATTGTGTGAAATTATGATGTCATTTTTTTGCTACAGATAGATGAATTGTATTTAGGAAAGTTTTATTTTATTTTATTGATTTTCATTTATTTCCTTATTTACTTAAGTTTTGCTGGTATTGGAGGTTTGAACTCATGCCTGGGCACTGCCCTTGACTTGTTCTCAAGGCTAGCCCACTATCACTGGAGTCACAGCTCCACATCCTTCTTTTCCGTTGTTAATTCTAGGTAAAAGTCTCGGGGACTTTTCTGCCTGGGCAGGCTTTGAACCACAGTCCTCTGATCTCATCCTCCTGAGAAGGTGGGATTACAGGCCTGAATCATTGAGTCCCGGCTAGAAATTTAGTTTTAATGTAAAAAAAATATTGCACATGTCCCTTCTCCCTGCTAAGAAAGCCTTAACTTTTACGTGTTTCAACAAGAAAAGCATTTTCAAGATATCTTATCCTTTCAGTGCTGATCTGTAGGATGGAGAGCCTCTGCAGGCAATAGCTCATTAGAGTGGGGCTCAAATTGGCAACTTAGTTGGGCATGACACTTACCTGCTTGGTTTGTGGTTACATTTACAGACACATACTGCCGGGTGCCAGGGCTCAAGTCGGACACTCCATTCACTGCCTCAATCTCAAACGTATAGTTTGTGTGAGCGAGCAGATCCACCATCATGACAGAGGTGTTTTTCAGGCCGATTTGCCGGGGGAGGTACCTGACATGATCGCCACACTCCTCACATACACCTGCATGGGAGTTGCACTTCTTGCATGCAATATAATATGACACATCTTTCCTTCCACCAGTGTCAGCAGGCGGAATCCATTCCAGAAAGACACTAGTTTCATTAACATTTGAGATGGCATTCCGAGGAGCTGAGGGGGGTCCTGGTTAGCAAAGTAAAGTGAAAAAAACATATTTTAAGATAATATTATTCAGGTATCATTTTCCACACTAATCCCTGGTCTGAAGAAAAAAAAATCGATTTGCAGTTCATCTTTTTTTTTTTTTAAGTAAAAGTCTAATTTGTAACAAATCATGTTAATGTTTAATAGGGACAATAGTAAAAATCTATGCCCTAAAGAAATGATTTGTTGGGGCACTAATCGGAAGCTACCTCAATGTATATATAAAATTAAGGGATAAAACTATGTGTGAGAAAACAAACCTAGAACACTTTTATGTTTAAAAGTGATAAGTGAATCTCCTTGGGGATTGAGCAAATTATTTCCTCATTCATCATTGGCATTAAACATAAAGTATCTATTAAGAAATAAGCACAGAAAAAAATGAAATTTTCTGAGTGCCTCTTAAAAAAACAGTATCTGTAGCAAAATATGGCCCTAGTTTACTTCAAATTAAATTATATAACTACTTGAAAAATCACTTGAAACTCTCTTCTAGATCAAGAAAGCAATGCAATTTCAGCAGTTGATCAACATCACAATCTAGAATAAAACTTATATTACACTCTGCAAGTTTGAATTTTGTTTAATTGAAAGTCTAAAACTTTAAGTCTATCCATTGAAGACACTACAAAGGAAGAATGAAAAAATTCATATGTTGAATGACTAATACAAGCATTTCAGTCTTCTACCATCCACTAAGGAATGAAAAGAAGTATATTTAACTAAAATTTTTCCATTGTATCCTAACACCTTAAAATCATACTAATGTAACCTTCCTAACATCAGTATATATTTGTTAGGCACGTTATTTTTATCTGATTGCCAATCGAAATTAGATGCAATTTGAAAATATATTTGAAACTAAGAAAATCTATTTCAATAAAATTGAATATTTCCATTTAAAGTTTAGTCATGAACAAAAATTTCTCAGATAAAAAGAAGCTATTTCCCATTTGAACATAATTTTAACTGTTTCCAAACATAAAACTAACCTACTAAACAGAGCTAAATTTGATTGTATGATAGTTACATCTAAAGTAGATTTTAAGATATTTAGAGTTAAACATCTCAGTCAGTTGTAAATATTACATAAATTTGATGTTTTCAAAGAACAAAATAAATTTATATTTATTTCAGAGACTTAGTATCTCTCTCTACATGAATAAAATGGGGTCTGGAAGTATTTGAATGGTTTATAATCATGAATTAAACTTCTTAAAATTATCTAGTTTCATGTGTTGTTTGTGCTAAATAAAAAGAGCATTAATTTGTATCTATTGTTTATTAAGTCATGACTGCTAAGATCAAATTTAATAGTGTTGAGTTAATTATTTTTTAAGGATTTAGATACAAAATGCATTTATATTAAAGAACCACATAACTAATGAATGACTAATCTTTATTTAATAACAAAAATTGAGGAAAATTTAGTGTGATCGGAATATTACATGCTAACATTGTGATAAAAGAATAAAATATATAAAACTATCTACTTTAGAAAGACGGTTACTTTCTAGGATTTTTTTTCCAAGAGCAGAAATGTATAGAATGTACTTCATGTATAAAAAGTAATCAGTCTGGCTCTTTTCTTTTGACTCTGCTACTAAAACCTCTTCAATGTTTAAAAGGAGCCCATGTAGCTTCTAGGTTAAGAAACTCAAATTGAATCTCTAGACGTAAAATGTAAAACCCCCAAATTATACACCTAAGAAATCTCGCTGTTCTATTAGTAGACATTATATGTGAACTAATGTAGGATGTTAGTTAGATCCTTGGTTTAATTAGATCCATAATTTTGTTTGTTTTTATTCTTATAGGTTTACAAAACTTTATTTTCCATATTTTATATGTGTGTATACACTCTAGAATAAGTAAAGGAGTAGAACCATAAATGCAATCCTAAGAATGAAAGACAAAGTTCAAGATATTCATCTGGAATAAATGAAGCCACCAGTGGATCATATACATTATTTGTGGTTCTATGGAGGCAACTACAATGGACACACTTTCATAATGGGCATTTCTGATGCATAGGAAATAGTGCTAGTAAGATTACATGCCTGAAGACAGAGGAAGTGCAAAGCCTATGCTTATGGGCTTTGGTCTTGAAAGATTTACTAAGCAGTCCTTGCCACCAAAGCACAGCCTCTCCCCAATTCCCAAACATAATCAATATATAGAAAGGGAGACATATATTTATGCCCCAAACAAGGCAGATAATGCCTGGCCCACTTAAGAAAACCACTAATTAGGAAATTAATAAAATTTTAAAAGATAATTTAGTACACTTTCCCCTCCTCCTTCATTATCATTCTATTTTTTGGCCTGCATTTTCAACATCACTGGGCATACTTTTGTTGACACTAACAAAAATAATTACTTAAATCTCCACTGCAAAATAAATAAGTAAATAAATAAATAAAGTCACTTTCAATCAAAGATCTCTTCCCAAAACTATGTAAACTAATGTAACTTAGTCTTTTGTGGAGAAAATGTTCACTTCTCGTAATCATACAGGAGGAAAAAAAATTCAAAAATGTTTGTTAAATAATAACAATGATATGAGGAATTCTGAAAACATGTTTTACTGACTATACAACCCAGACACTATAGAATCCTGGCAAATTCAATGTGTGATTATTAGACAAGAAGAAATCTGTACTACATATGCTTAGAAATTAATAGTGACATTCAGATGTCTTTGTGAGCCTAAAAGAGAAGAGTGATAACTTACAAGGACCCAGCAGACTGTCAGGTTGGTTATAGACCTTGAATGTTACAGAAAGGCATGTGTTTGAGTTTTTACTTGTATCATCTTTCATTGGCTATTGGGACATAACTTTTGGAAAATCCCTGAAAGTATTGTCACCAAGCAAACAAATGCATAAATATGATTTCCAGAAATACATGGAAATTCAATCAAAGCACTGATATATTTGTCCACTACAGATACATGAAATAAATGCATAATAACAATGTTCCAGCAAATATATCTGTATACTAGCGACACGTTTCTAAGAAGAATCACTGAAAACTTAGAGCTGATTCAAATCTGATTTTGCACCCATAGTAATGCATGCTTTTTATTTGTTTTCTGACTTGTCAATTACTTTCAAAATGGGCTACGGCTTTAGTGGAATGTTTTAACTAAGTAAAGGTGTCATTTAGTGCATAACTATATGATTAGAATTTTTTTAATGTCTTAGAAAGAAGAAGGAAACAGGTTTGACAAGGAAAGCAGACATGCTGAAGTCTTATTAGGTTGTCAAGATCACTAATGTAAACCACAAAATAGTGGGGGCAATTATGTATCTGTTTCTCAAATGTTGAGCTTCAAGTATAGAGAAAAGGATGAGGCTTGTAATCGTGAGTGATAAAAATGAAAAAATGTTCAGTGTGTCTTAAAGAAGATTGAACTTGAATAACTATATTGAGAAGACTACACAGATGCCTGTTTTAGGGGGAAATGTTAAGAGAATGGTAACAGGCTCCATCATACTGTTTCTTCAGACTGGTGAAAGTTAGCATCACCAAATACCCATGGGTTTTCTTACTTGTGCATGCCATTGTGGGCGGGTCAGACTCCCTCCTGAAATAATCCTTTTCACAGACACAAGAGGTTGAAGCTTCCTCATGGGTGTAACTGTGAGGTGGACATTGGCTGCAGCTCTGGCTGTGAGGTGAGGCTTTGAAGAACCCAGGTCTGCACACTGTCAAAAGAAATAAGAGACTAAGCTTTTGCTAGGAACAGATGCAGTGTTTGCTTTGTGAATAATGGATTAGCTTGGCTAGGATACACAGATTACAGAGAACACAGTCTTTGCATCAATTTCAAGAGTTTTACATAAGCTTCTGGATCATAAATGCCAGACTATTCATTCAGACAATCAAATATTTATTTAAAGTATTCAAATTAAACATGTATGGAATGTACATATGTTAATGATTTTTATGCTACAGGAGCTTATAAGAAATTATTTTTATAGAAGGCAAATATTTATATGTGTTTGAAGAAGAAGCTGTGCTTTGAATACAATTTTCATTTTATTATTACTGCAACTCTGTTGAAGAAATTCAAATTATCCTATATAATCCTGAAATGTTATGCCACATAAAGCTACTAAATTTAATTAATTAATAGAGGACAGAAAATTTTCAGATTCTGTTTAGCCAGGGAGAATGTGTAAGTTTGCTAATACATCATCTATAAGAAATTAATTTCAGGAAATATCAAATTTTAAGCATTTGTTTCACATTACACTTATTGGATTAAAATTTTTTTCCTTTGATAGTCTTATAAAATAACAAATTCTGAAATAAGTGACATTGGTCAAGATGTTGTGTACTCACAAACTGACATGTTGAATTCAAACCATTACAAGTTAAGGAAGTTTTTAAGGATTTATTTCTTCTGATATCAACAATAGTAATGTAGTGTACAAATTAATGATTGTTAAAAGTGGAATTTATGTCTTATTTGATAATTTTATACTCAGGATACATAATCATGTTTGATCCTAGTGGGTATTCAGAAAGTATAATAAGCTAAATGAATATATGATTGGCATGCTAAGAGATCAAACCTCAGTTATTTAGGATAATATAGACAGTGTCTTTGCTGATGATTTGTTAACAAACTTATGAAATTGGTGATCAGATAAACTAAGAGCTCATAAAGCAAGTCTTTGTATTCTTTAATTTCCAGGGATTCATATGCTTCTTTCTGTTCAACCAAACTTCAGAACCTTTATTGCTCTTTCTGGACCAATTATACTAAAGTAATGGTATGAATACTTTTTAGGTCTTATTTTACACATAGCTACTCAACTTCTTTTTTTTCTATTTTCAATATTCAGTAAATATAACAAAGAGTATTTATTCAAGTAATAATGCAATGCTGAAGCTTGATAGAAATTTCTGGTAAAAATAATGTGTCAGAGCTAAGTTTTACATGTTATAAATGATCTCCGGGTTTTAGTAATCCATACCAAGGCTTTTTGCTATTACTATGAATAATCAGAAATTTGCAAAAAAAAGAGAAAATACTTTTTTCAGTAGATTTAATTATAGTGATAATAAAGCCTTAATACTCTTAAAAATTCAGAGAGAATATGAAGTTATTTGAGAGATAAAAAGAGCTTTGTAATAGTATTAAGTGCATTCTTACAATGAAATTATTAGAAGATTTAAAATAATAATTCTTACATAGGACTGCTATAGCAGTGATTACCATACTTGGATTCTAAAATACCCAATTTTTCTTCTTCTATTTCTTTATCCATTCTCAATTTAAATCCTATGAAGTGAAGTGTCAATCCACACATTCTCTATATTTGGAATTAATTTATCATTTGTGAAACACTCTTTCCATTTTTGTTCCCCTGCCAGGTGGAAGACTAGAATTCAGGGTCTTCTAATTTAAGCAGACCTTTTATGACCACAGTTTTTAGGCTACCCTTGCTTCATGCCTCTGGTTTTGGCATTTTACTGATTAATTGAAGGTCAGAGTCTCACAGATTTGTCTTCTGGGGCTGTATTTGAACTGTGATCATCATGACAATGGCATGAGCCATTTTTCAGACACCTCTTCATGGGAACTTTTGAAACAGAAGATATAAATTTAAGTCAAATGGAGATAACAATGCTTTTCTGCTTTTTAGCTTAATAAATTCTTTTGATAGGTGTTGAGGGCCAAGAACTCCTTGGTAATAGAGAACACAAGACACTCTTAAGATAGGTCAAGTTACCAGATGGCAAATTAGATGTTCATTAGACTTTTTATTGTGTATAATAATTGTACAAAGCAGTAGATTTCATTTGGACATTTTCTCATATGCATATAAAAATGCTTGTATGTAGATTCCCCCAACTACCCTCCCTCCACTATCCTTCTGTCCACTTCCTATTCTGTAATAGCATTTTTTTTTACTTGTTTCTAGCTTACAGAGGGTGAATGTGGACCTAACCGTATCAGTAAATAATATATTTGTTTGAGACTTTATTTTATAGGTAATGGAAAATCATTGCAAACATTTGGTGAATTAACATTCTGTACATATGCAATAATTGCAGTTATATATAAGGAGATAATGAGTATAGTGTTTAAGAAATCATTTCACAACAGCATGGGGAAAATCAATCCATGGAAATAGATTGCATTCTATTAGAAGTGACTAACTCTCCTTGCTATTGCAATGGTTCAGAAAGCAAGAAAAGAGTAGATGACCTCAAGGAATTAGTCAAAATTTACTGGATTGCATACTATGTTTAGTGATTTAGATGAATGAAAATGCAAGCATAAGAATAATTTTAACATGTTTGTGTTAAAGTGCTAGAATCAGTTTATTAGACTAGATAATTTTAGATACAAAATGTATTTTCAGGATAATAATGATTATTTAATGCACTATTTAATGTGAGGGATTAAAAAATATAAATAAAGGTATAGTAGTTGAATGTAGTTGAGTTGAATACTTTCTAAGAAAGTAATAACAAAGTGTAATATGTATTTCTTTAAGTTATAACTCCAGAAACTTTGCTTTGCCCTAAAGTTTAATTCACTTCCTAACATTAGTACAATTATTTTGTAGCTTCTTATCTTCAAACTTCTTAGAATCATTATTCCTCTGTCCAGCTCTGAATCATATCAAATTAATACAACAAAACTTGCCTGTGGGGACAAAAACATACAAACACGGTATATTTTACAAAAGTCTCAGGGTCTTGACCTTGATTAAAGTCAACATAGGGATTCTATTTCAAACATTTCTCCTTGTTTCATTAGACTTTATACCTCCCATGCCACTTCTAGTTTTCTGGTGGTTAATTGGAGATAAGAGTCTCATGGACTTCCCTTTCCCCAGCTAGCTTTGAACCACAATCCTCAGATCTCAGCCTCCTGAGTAGCTGGGATTACAGGCATGAGCCACCAGTGCCCGGCCTATATGTTCTATTTTTAAATGCTGAATAAAAACACTTCATGTAGTATAAATATATCCAACATTACATTTTATCTTTAAAAATGAAATTAACTACATCAATAGGAAACTGTTTCTCAGTCACAACACAAAATTATCTACATTGTGAATGTACATGTAAGTAAATATTAATGATGCAGTATTTTAAAGAATAGACACAAATACTGATGAACTATCTCACTAATTTCTTTAGAATTCAAAGGGAAGATTAAAACATGCTCATGCAATTGTGCATGAGAAACTGCACTTGTTCTGTTGGAAATAATATATGTAGCTATGAATATAAATATAGAAAATAAAAACAGAGAATTCAAGGGACACACATTTATTCAAATCAGTTTACTCCAAATGAGAATTACAAGGAATCATGTCATTTTGCAAATGTTCAGTCCATAGTTTTGAGATGTTACTCTTTTGAAATTAAAACTTACAAATTAACGAAAACAACTGGCTAATGTAGTTCATTTGGTAAAAAAAAAAAATCAACTATCCATTTCTAATTTTCAATGTGTAAGTGTCCTGCTGGGTCTCAAATTAAACAATTTCTGATGTCAATGTTTAGGAGTTTAATTCTTTATTCACAGATTGGGAAACTCATCCAAAGAAACAGATTAAAACTGTTTTCATGATATGGCTTATTTCTAAATGCTTCAGTCAGGCAAACATTATTTTCTGCAGCTGCTTATTTTATGTGTATTTATGTTTAGTTAATTTACTTTTTCTTCTTTGTTTATAAGATCTGTGTTTCAGAATTGTTCCATTATTTTCAGAGATTCTTTGTATGTCCTTAGATATCTGGAAATCTCAATTTAGAAACCAGAATGGGTTTTTTTTTCAAATGCCAGAGCAAGAAGAATAAGGAAGCCAGAAAAATGATAATTCTGAAAGCCTGATCTCACAGATGATTAGAAAGCAGAGCTCCCATTTTGTAATATGGGAATTTAGACATTAAGATTATAGACTCAGTCTAAGTTAGATTATATATTGTGGCAAATTCCCTTTGTGTGGTTAGTCATGATTAACATTCTTGCATCATTTTTCAGAACAGGCTGTCTTGGTGGCCACACGACAAAGAGGTTGTATAACAGCAGAAGCCATATTATAAAACAAAATAAATATTTTTGTTTAATTAATTTTATTGTAAAGGTGATATACTGAGGGGTTATAGTTATGTAAGTAAGATAATGAGTATATTTCTTGTCAAACAATATAAGTGACTCTTATTCAGAAGGCCTACTAGTGATGGTCAGTGAGGAAAACTCTACATCGATTCTAATCATTTCACTAGCATAATAATAATGTGAAATCTATAATATTAATATTTCTATTTTATAAGAATAAGGCTAAGCAAGATACTTCAGTTTTCAAAATGGATAAGTAGGGAATCAAGAAATTTAGTACATTTTCTACTTCAGACTAATGTATCCAATACACCAGGGCATATCAGAAATAATGCTGTAATTAGTATAAACAAATTCAAAATATTCACTCTATTAGAATTTAAAATTTAAAAGATTGCCCATAATAAAGATTATGTATTAATGCAATCTCACAAAAAAAATCTGTGAAAGTAAAATAAACCCACTATTTCTTTTTTATTAAAGGAATTTTGGTAAAGTCTTTGTGCACATCCAAAATTATAATGCATTAGTGGTGCTGTGGCTCAAGTGATAGAGTGCTCACCTTGAACTGACGGACAGTGCTCAGGCCCAGAATTCAAAGCCCCATGACCA